CTAACAGACGTTTGGAAAATGAAAATGAAGAAAATGATGAAGATGATGGTATGAATACCGAAGACTAATGTGAATTTGAGAAATTTAGGGATTTTTTTTTTCTTTTTTTTTTGTGTTTTTGAAACTTTCATATTTTAACATATTGATATTTTAGTATTTTGATGATTATGTTTAATATTTTGATATTTCATTTGAAATTTAGTGATTTGATGTTATTATTTATATTGTATAATTACATATTAGAAACTTATAATAAGCAGGTTGTTGTATTTCCATATTGTCGCTATTTCGGGCGCCGTGTTGCTGTGCCTAAACGCCCTAACAACCTTGTCCTTGACAAACTTCAACAGGAACAACAAAGTGACACGGATACAATCATCAATAAAAGAAACAAACCATCGTGTTCAAGAGACATTAGGAATAGTAGGACCTCATATATTAGTATGAATGAGGTAAAAAGAAAAATAATTTTTCTTTTTTATTACTAATGGGAAAAGGCATTCGCTTATATTTGGCGAGTTCACATACATCACAATGAAATTCCTCAAGGCTTATATCCATAAACAGGGTGGGAAACAAGATCTTAATAACCCTAAATGATGGATGTCCTAAACGGTGATGGTAAGATAAATTTTCTAACTATTAGATAAATGGCTTTCTGATGTTAGACCCTTACTCTGGACCAAGTTCAAATGACTTGGCGTCTCAAAGTAATAAAGGTTGTCTCTTACTTTAGGACATCTAACTGTCCTCCATGAAACCTTGTCCTGAAACACAACCATTATAAAAACCACATTGCATAATAGATCTTGTGTAAGCTTTTGTATAAAAACAAGATTGGTGGATAATTTGAGGACATGAAAGACATTCTTAAGGGTCATGGTTGGGTTTGTTTGAACATTGCCTACTTTTGCAATAATTGATAGAGATCCATCGGCTATGACTGTTTTCCAACTACTACAGGCTGAAAAGTATTTAGATGAACGGGTCATATGATCGGTGGCTCCGGTGTCCATGATTAAGGCTACTCCACTCTTCACTTTGTGGTGTAGCAGCAATGTGTACTTGTCCAGCATGGTGTAGAGGCTCTTTATTCCTTACTTGGTCTCCCTTTTCATTCCACTCTCGGCTTGGGGGCTTTCTATGAAGCTTCCAACATTCCTCTCTAGTATGTCGAGAATTTTTACAATAAGTACAAAACAACTCATCCCGATGCTGTGACTTAGGTTGAATTACTCATTGCTTTTGGATCTAAGGCAATTTTGATATCACTAGCCACCATAGCCATGTTATCAACAGTCAACACTTTATGGTTCCTACATCTCAAACCTACTGCTTTCTTCTCTTCGAATTAGTGATACAACAACTTCATTTGAGGTTAGGAAGGATTTGGCTCTCACTTGATCATACTTAGATTCAAACCACAGAGAAAATAATAAACCCTGTGTTTTTTTAAAAAAATCTTTTAAATTTGCTTGCATTTGCCAAGCAGTTGGTGTTTATTACCCTATAATGGTCGAGTTCCTGCCACAACGATATTAATTCACTGCATATTCAGTCACTGTTATCGTCCCTCGTTTTGTTGCTATCATTTTCATTTTGACTTCATACACCTGAGCCACATCTTTAGACTTGGAATAGGTTTCTTGAATAGCATTCTAGACATCCTTGGCAGTGTTCAAGAAGATATGAGTATCTTTGATTCAGGATCATAGAATTCCATAACCAAGTCATTATCATAGGGCCTTCTTCATCCTACGCTTCAAATTTGGGATTTTCCTTCTTTGGTCCCAATGAGATGACTACTTTTTCCTTTTCCTTTCAATGTCACTTGGACAAGTTGGGACCATTTTAGGTAGTTATTTTCCATCTAGTCTACCTTGAAGTTCACTGGCATGTTGGACTCAGATTTTCTCCCCGAATTGTGCAGTCTTTGTCAGGTTTCACATATTATAACTTGTAACTTCCGGTGAATAGGACTAACAAACTTGAAAAATAGTCCAGAAAACTCAGTAATAGGAAGAAAGAAAACTAGCAGAATCAAGAACAGTTCCAAGAAAGAGCTGCACTGATACCATCTCAGATTTTGAACAGAAAAATCAATTGAAGAAAAAGATTAATTTTATTAAAAAAAAGGTATATTTTACATATAGGAATTGACAGATTTTTATACAAAATTTCCTAGTAACTATAAAATGAAACTATCCTCTATCTTATCTAATGAATCATAGAATCATCATCAATCTTATCCCATGAATTAGGGGATCTCTAGCTGTACAAAGGAAATAAGATATTTATTTCCTAAAATTAAATTGATTTACATATTTTACCACAATTTTACTCTTATGACTTTTGACATGCTTTACAAGTTTTTAATCTTACCAAAAGTCAAAATATCAATTTTCAAATTATTTGACAATAAAATTAAAGTTGTCAAGATAGATTGATAGGGTGAGCCAGTCCCCCATCCATTATATCGTAGATTGTGGAAGTGTGAGCTTTAGTTGGGGTTAATTAAAATGGCTTGGCCCATCTGTCCTTTAAAGCAGGGTAAAGCAGGCCAACCGGATAGGCTCAATCCATTTTGATAGCTTTAATCCTAATGTATATCTTAGTTCCTAATTTTATGATGGAAGAATCCCTTGATTCTTTGCCAAAATGCTTATAGTGAGTTTTGTGGCTTGACAACCTCAGAAGTAGATCTAGTTTGGATTTAATTGGTAGTTTCGAGTCATTTTCTTTCATTCTTTGTGATATTTTTGTAAAAATTAGCATTAATGCCTAATTGAGTGGGAGCTATCATGATTAGCTAAAGAAAATTTCCAGTGATACTTTTTATGAGTTGACTATGCTTTTGAAGAATGCATAGTGATTATTACCTACATGTGAAGGAACTAAATGAACTTTTGATAGAGAAACTAGAAGATATGAAACAAAAAGAATGAGATATTTTAGATAGGATGTTGATATGCTTTGAATCTAGTTTGCCACTTCGCTGAGTTTTACGGAGGTCTCGCTGAGTTCGTATTGTGTGCTCTCTTAATTTATTTAAATAGACTTAAAAGATATGTAATTTAGGTTAATCTGTATCAGAAATCAGTATTTGTAATCTGTAACCTAGCTGCCTTCAATAAATCTGTTTTTCGTTTCTGTCCGTGGACATAGCTAACACGTTGTTGATAAATTACAAAATCTGTGTTTTCTTTACTCTTCTGTTTGTTATTCCATCATTAATCTTAATCCGTTACAACATAGGAAATCCATGACCCCAATTCATGTCTTTTTCACCTGACATGTCGTTCCTCGTGGCAAAAGCGAGGTTGACAAATAGCACACTGCAAATTTTGGTAGATATGTATGGGATACTATGTATGGCCAATAACTTCATCAGACATGATAACTTTTTAGCATTACGATGTCGGAGTTTCCAAACACCTCAATGAACTCAATATCATCACATCATAGTTGGCTTCTATTAAATTGAATTTGGTGTCAAAGTGAAAGTCCTAATTTTTTTGTTGAAACTTTGAAAAAGATGGGAAAATGTTGGAAATTACATCACTGCAAAAGAAAATATGGACATTATTGAAATCTATGCATACAACCGAAAAAAAAGGATAAAAGAGTTAACAATTCAAGTATAATGGCTAAACTGATTGTTACCATGGGTAGTCCCTTGTGAAGTCATGGGTCTCCCTATTTCAAGCTACCGCTGCTGCAGTTTATTCCTTCCGCTCACTTAGTTGCTATCAGGCGTTAACAAGAAAAGAGTGAGTGGGAAATCCGATCTTAGAGCTGAACCCCTAAAGCCACCGTGTTTCTCTGTTGCACTAGTTCGGAAATTATGGAAATTTACACCTCTAGTGATTTTAGAATTTTCTAAGTTGAAAGAATTATGGAAAAAAATAGGAGATTTCTATATCAAAACTTCAAATGGATGCAAGTGGAAGCTATGTGACATTACAGACATCCTAAGATTGAAGAGGAATTTGATCCCTACAAGAAAATTATACAAATAAGGCTATGCTGCAACATTTGGATGAAAGAAAAAAGGTGTCCTATACCTGACTGGAATATAAACTAAGTTTGTGTTCTTAGAGAAGTTGGAACTATGCATAGTTTCAACAGGCCTTGGATGGTAAGAAGGAAAAAGTTTGGCGCCATTGTTATTATAAAAAGCTGAAAGTAAAAGATACAATTAGTTTTCATGCAGGAGATTTTTGGGTTGCGTGGATTCAAAGACCTGCATGCTCTATGCTTGGAGGATCTTCGAATCCCTTGTGTTTATATTAAAACTTTCCAAGGTCCGCCTCATGGAATCCAAGTTGAGAGAGATAAATTGAACAAATATGGAAGGTGACAAGAAGTTTGAAGTTTAGAGAAATGGTTATTATTAAAATTCCGTTGGCATGGGCAAATATAGGCATAGAGTTTCAACCGTATGTATATATATTTTAATTTTTCTAATCCTTTCTGATGCAATGATGTAATCCGGTGAGTCTCTTGAGTTTACTTTTTTCTTTTTTTTTTTTTTTTGGTTGGGGGTTGATATTTTCGTAACAAGCGTGAAAGGATATACACGCTCTTTGGTTTACGGTTAAACTTCTTTGATCAAAGGAATTTGGTTAGGATGTTCATGGAGTGTCTTGATTTAATATATCTGATATTATGTTATGACTTGGAGTTAGTGCTGCAGTTCATGTTATGCTATAAATGTAAGTGCTCATTTCAAAGGCATTATTTTAGCATTATATACTTCACTTTTCCCCATTTTTATCTTCATGTATTCTCCCTGTGAAACAAAGTTTTACATAACGTTCTACATCTCAAATTCTATCTTTCTTTGAAGAGTAGAAATTATCATTACGACAAATTTTATGGAGATGATCCAGTATAGTTAGTATAGTGAAATGTATAGGAACATGGGTATCTGCTTTACCTGCATTTTTATGTAACTTGAAGTTGAACTTTTGCTAGAACTTCTTTTTTATACATTTCAGGTTTCAGTCGAGTTTGGATTGTCTGAGATGCTGAACACCCTAGCTATTCGAGCTTCTGTGGCTCCTAAAGATGGAAGATTTAGTTTCAATATCTCTCAATGTGAAGCTGTCTTGCCAGCTGGAACTGTTGATAATTCTGTTGAATTGGTTTATAAGGAGGTAATCTTCATTCTTCACCAGTCGAATTTACACTTTCCGACTAGAATAGTAATATATTTGTCAAGGTCAATTCTCTCTGTGCTAGATGGTGCACTTTTGAGTGTAGGTACCAAAATGGCAAGAGACTCTGGAAGGTGCTCGAGCTAGATATGTTGAGGTGATCAAGAAACTCGCCGAAAAATATCCCTCGGAGAACTTGCTGCTCGTGACGCACGGTAACCTCCATGCATAATATCATTTATCAGCAGAGCATCGGGATTGTTACTTGCCTCACAATTTTCTTTCAGGGGAAGGAGTTGGATCAGCTGTTTCTAGATTCATACCCGGAGTTATGGTATGTGATGTTGAGTATTGTGCCTATTCGGTTTTCCGCAGACCAATAGTGTTGGGTGCAAATCAGTCGTACACTGCTGGAGGAGACTTCGTCAGCTCCCTCAAAGACCTCTTTGGGGTTACAATAGTTGAAGAACCTAACAATCCTTAGAACCTTACACGAATTTTAATTTGTTGTGTCATTCTTTTTTCTGAGCCAGAAATAAACACAATGCAGATTGTTTTTGAAATTTCATTTCCCTTCGTATGACTGAACATAAATTTTGAGATTATAATGTTTGGTATGGCAGACAAGTTCTAGGAGTTCTGGATCTTATGTTTATAAAGAATTTTGTTAGCTACCAGGTTGCAGGGGCTGTCAGTGTCGACTAAATCAAGACCATTCTCTTCCAATATCGGATGTTCGTAAGGGCTCTGTAGCAAGAAATTATAAATTCTGTTAAAGAAAGCTCTTGGTGTAAATTGCATGGGCTAGGGAATCTTTTACAATATATCGAATTGGTATGGTAGGTGAACTTGTGACTGCTAAGTAAGGAATTCACATCTTGTAGTTCTTTTCTTCTTTTTTCTTTTTTATAATATAGGTAAAGACTTTTCTGGAGGTTATCCATTCTAGTATTATTTTTGTCCAAATGTGCGTAATTTTGGAGTTTTGATGGGATCAAGTGCGTTAACTGCTTAGCTGGTCTTGTCTAGTGTGACTTAGCTATTACGTTCAGTCGGTTTGTCTAGTGTGATTTAGCTATTATGCTCAGCGAGAGGTTTAATAGGTGCGAGTCCTAACTTTCTTCTCTTCTGAGCTTAAATTTTGTTTGAGGCGAAGAAAAAAAAAGAACAAGAAAAACTGGTGGTTGGGTCAGATCCTGCCGAGCGCCACTGGACACAGTCGTTCAATCGATCACGGTTTTCTCCTCTGATGAAAACTTCAGGAAAGAGTTATTTTATTTTTTTTTACGCACACACACACACACTCCATGGGAATTGAATTCTGAACATCAAACATGTGAAGAAGTGCTCACCCATTTGAACTATATCTCTTCACCATAAAAGACTTATAGATTGATTGATTATTCATTTTTGCAATTGCTTTGCAGGTGAACGAAGTATATATCATCAAACTCGGTCAGTCCCGCTAGAATGCACACTCCGATACAACAAATATTACATTACAGGTAACCAATCCATTTTCCTTTTCATTGTGTATAGCATTTAGTTTATAATAATAAAATAATCTACTCTTGCGTGATATTTTTGCGGAGTTCACTCAAGATGTAATGGCAAGTAGAAGTCAATCTAGTGAGGCATTTTGGAAGAATAAGTTATTGTGTGATATTTTTTCGGTGTCCATTTAAATTATAATTGCATCGTAGAGATCAACCTAAGGAATCATTTTGGAAACAAATTATTATACATTAATGTAATTGATGGTTAGTAGTTGGAAGTTGGATTAAATGCAACAATAATTTATTCATATAGTTGAAGGTTGAATTAAATACAACGAAAATTAATTTATTCCATATTATATGAATTAATTATCGTTGCATTTAATTCAATTTTCAACTATTAACCATCATCTACATTAATGTATAACAATTCATTTCCAAAGTGCTTCATGATTAATCTCTACTTGCAATTGCAACCTGAAGTTGCAATGAACTCCGAAAAAATGTCACACAATAATTTATTTTTCCAAAATGCTTCATTAAATTGACTTTTACTTGCCGTTGCATATTGAATGAACTCTAAAAAATGTCACACAATAACTTTTCCTTTTAGTCACTGTCAAATAGTTCGGTTAGACATACTGTTATATTGATAGGTGTGAAACCGAAAGCAACAAGAAGAAACAAATATATAAAAAAGTTAAGCAATAAAAAGAAGAAAATATAATGAAGTTGTAGCGCTTGTAAAATGCAATGACTAATTTTTATAGGAGAAATAGGCAAAAATTTTATGTTGGAAAATTAATGAAGTAGTTGGTAGTTGAGGGTTAGATTAAATGGAAGGATAATTAATTCATCTTGTTGATTGTTAGTAGTTCATAGTTGAGTTAAATGCAAGATAATTAATTTATAAAGTTAATAGTTAGTGATAATTAATTCATTTAGTTGATGGTTAATAGTTGAAAGTTTTAATTCATTTAGTTGATGGTTAATAGTTGAAAATTAGATTAAATACAAAAATACTAATTCATATTGATGGTTAGTAGTAAAATTAAATATAACGATAATTAATTAAAAATAAATAATTCATGTAGTTGATGGTTAGTAGTTGAAAGTTGAATTAAATACAACGTATAATTAATTCATATCATTGATAGTTAGTAATTGAAAATTGTATTAAATGAAACAATAATTAATTCATGAATTTAAATGCAACTATAATTACTTTATATATTTGATTGTTAGTAGCTGAAAGTTGGATTAAGTACAACAATATTTAATTTATAAAGTTTATTGTGAGTAATTGAAAGAGAGATTAAATGTAATGATAATTAGTTCATGTAATTGATGGTTAGTAGTCTAATGTTAAATTAAATGCAATAATAATTAATTTACAAAATTAATGGTTAGTTGTTGAAAGTTGAATTAAATACAAAAATAATTCATTACTGTAGTTGATGATTAGTAGTTAAAAGTTGAATTAAATGTAATAATAATTAATTTATAAAGTTAATTGAAAATTGAATTACATAAAATTAATTTATGAAGTTAATGGTCAATAGTTAAAAATTGAATTAAATGCAATTAAAATTAATTCTTATTGTTAGCAGTGAATTAAATGCAATGATAATTAATTTACTAAATTAATTGTTAATAGTTGAAAGTTGGATTAAATGCAATAATAATTAATTAATTTATGTAGTTGATGATTAGTAGTTGATAATTGATTAATTACAACATTGATTAATTTATGTAATTGATGATTAGTAGTTGAATGTTAAATTAAATGCAACAATAATTAATTTACAAAAAAATGATGAGACATATAATAGAGAACAACTAAAATGATAACGTATACAAGAGATCTGAGATGAAGAAAATATTATCTTGTTTGTTCCAATTCAAATATATTTTTTCTTAATTTCGTCTCTCTCAACTCAAAATATATATATTCCTATTTTTGTCATAATCACTCAAAAATATTCATTTTATATTTTAATAATGTTACGCACAAATAATAATAATAATAATAATAATAGCAGGATCTTAAAGGAAGTTAGGACACGGAGTCGGGCGGAAAAGGAGAAAATATGCACTCAGGTGGGTTGGTCTGCAGTCGGTTGACTGCAGTCGGATAAGCAGGTCGGAAGGTCCGCAGTCGGATAAGATAAAGTTGGGCACGGAAGATCGGACATAATAAGGTCAGACACGGAGGTCGGACAGGACAAGGTCGGGCACGGAGATCGGACGTGATAAGGTCGAGCAAAGCAGAAGTAGCGGCAGACGCGGAGGTCCGTCAAGATGAAGGTCGGACAAAGAAGAAGTATCGGCAGACGCGGAGGTCTGTCAAGAGGAGATAAGGCAAACAGAGCCGGTCGGTTGGTTCGCTGTCGGTTGGTCCGGTCGGATGGTCCATAGTCGGTTGGCCCGCGGTCGGACCAACTGAGGTCGGGCGAAGAAGGACGGCTGATACGGCGGTCGGTCGAAAGAGGAAGTCGGGCGAAGAAGGACGGTTATTACGCAGGTCGGACCAAGTGAGGTCGGGCGAAGAATGAGACGGACGGTACGAGGTCGGACAAGAAACCAGATGGGGGTCGCTTGGTGGGACTACCAAGAATTCGTTAGGTCTATGCGATCAGTTAGTCTCTGGATTGGTCGGTTGGCGCGACGGTTACCGTAACCGACCAGACGACGCTTCAAAACGTTTCGTTGTGGGCGGTTGACGGCGGTTGCTGGCGACGGTTCCGAAACGTCTTTTCTGAAGAATATTTAAGGATTGGGGGTCAGCAACTGGCAGAGCATCTTCAATAGACATCAAATTCAAGAGAATTGTTTTTTGGGATCACTGCTTTATTTTTCAGTCTTTAATTTTATTTTTCTATTTTATTTATGTATTCTATAGTGTTTAGAGATCCCTAATCTCGAGCACTAATTATATCAAATTCGAAGATAGTTTCCTATTTTCAGATTTTACTTTTTTATTGTTGAAAAAATACATCAACAAATAAAAATAATTATATACTAATACCAAAATATCCTTAATAAAACATTGTTTTTTATGAGAAAAAAATTATAAACTAATATCAAAATACCTTAAATTAATTTACGGTAAAAAAAATATTCTTTTTACACACTTGTATTAATTAATAAAATATTATAATTTCTTAATCTACTATAAAATTTCAAATAGCACATTTGGAATAAGTAAGATGAAGTATTTCTTACTTCAAACATTGTTTCCCCAAATAAAGTATTTCAAATAGGTTCCTTATTTTGATGATAATAAGACGATCTCATTATTTTCTCTAAAATATCTAACAGCGTCTATTTGTGAGTTTTAAAAAAAATAATATATTTTATTTATTAAATAAATATTTATATTTAGTAATATAAAATAAAAATAAAAACAAAAATAAAAGTATATTTTTGTTATGGATTTTAATATCCTCTAAAATCTAAGGAATATCAAAACTAAAATAAAATAAATATTTATATTTAGTAATATAAAATCAGAACAAAAAAAAATGCAATGTATTTTTTGTTATCAATTTTAATATCATGTAAAAATTTTAAAGAAACATCAAAAACTATAATAATAACGATAGACCAAACAAGAAATTTTGAAAATTAGAAACACAAAGTAAACAACCAATGACTAAGTAAAGCAAATGCTTGTTGAGCGCTCTCTCTCTCTACATGCATGAGATTGATTTACCCGTGATAAGCGGGTTGGATTATAGGGCCAAAAATATCAATAATATTTTTTTTTTATTTTTTTTGTTTTTTTTTGAATTTGAGCTGAATTTAATTTTAATTTATAAGCTAAAAAAGTGTATCAATAATCAAATTACATTAGTAAGAAATACTCCTTCCGTTCTTCAATAATTTATCTATTTTTTTATTTTGGTCCGTTCTATAATAAAATATCATTTTTTTTAGTAATTGTACTATTTGTCTAACATTACAAATACCCTTTTAATTTACAATATATTACACAAATGTTATTACTTTTGTATCAAACAATACTAATATGGTTAATCTAGTCTTTTTACTTTTATTTATACTATATCCTAATATAATATTTTTTAAAATTCTGTGCAAAAAGCAAATAGATATATAGATATGGGACGGAAGGAGTATAATATAAGCCAAAACATATCCCAATTAAGCAGATGAAAATGGGATAATAAAATTTTATTACAAGTGGTTCTAGAATTCAGTGATGGCGGAGAAAAACTAGAAGTTGAATCATAGGATATAAATGGTAAATTTATTATAGTTTTGTTGCGACAAAAGACTTTTAAAATTTCTAAATTCAAGCTTCATCAGTCCGTCTCTAAAGATCACATTTATTTTTTATGTCATTGTATTTAACATTAAAAACATAATTATATTTGTATAATTTTTTATAGAATTATATTTCTATTAGTATTATAAGACACTAATATAAGTACTTTTACAATTTTTTCTTAATTTATACTACATTCTGATATAATAAGTAATATTCAAATATCAACACGTAAAAAGTAAATGAGAACCTTAAAATCGGATGAAGGTAGTAAGTAGTAAAATATTAATATTTAACATAGTGTTTTGTGAGAGAAAAATATATTTAGTGTAATATTTTCAAAAAGTTGAATACTATCAAATTTTTAAAATTGTTGTATAAATAAAGAACTTAAGAATTTGGAGAACCAAAAAAACTTAGGGCATTCATTTCCTTGTTTGTGGCTTTCGTGTCTTTATCTATAGCTTGTTGAA